AAGATTGGGCGGCTGGAGGACATGTTGGATGGGCCAGGAGATGAGGCGCCTGATGTGTCTGATGATGAAAATGGGGCAGAGGCAGAGGAGGAGAGGCGGAAGGTGAAGGTGGGTGGCCCAGGCTGGGGACTGTCAGGGAGCACTGAGCCCTTGGACACAGCTATGGGCTGTGGTGACATCCCCGTGCCAAGGGGAGAGGCAGAGACCATGGTGACATCATCAGGGAAAGGGAACATTTTCTGCTCCTGGCCATGCTAGCCCTGTCTTTGCAGAGTGTGCCTGTGGTGGCACCATCCTGGGGAACCCCATCCTCCTCTGTTCCTGGCAGGAAGGCTGCCTGCAGTGGGGATGGTGCCACCCCCAGCACCCCCTGGCTGCTCTTGGCTGCCCTGGGCTCTACAGAACCCATCCTGGGTGAGTCCTGGAGAATGGTGCTCCCATCACTGGGGATCCAACATGGCTTTGCATTGCAGAAGGACAAGGAGAGCTTGGCACAGGCATTGTCCGACTGTGTCATCTACTGCAAGAACGTGTCCTTCCGGAGCTTCCAGGAGGCCCACAGCCATTCCCGGCCCTCTGAGATCTCCTCCCTCTCTGAGGCCAAGGCCAGGAAGCTCATCCGGGACACAGGTGAAGCAGAGGGGCAGTAGGATGCAGGGAGCAGGTCAGGGTGGAGGGCTGGCAGCTTCCTCAGGTGTAGGGCTGGAGCCTCCAGACAACAGGGTTCCCTCTCTGTCTGGGGCAAGAGGTCCAGTGGGGCTATACCTGTTGTTCTGAGGGGTGCATTTTGTCGTTCCCAGGGGATGGTCAAGAACTGATGGGTGGGCGAACATCATGTGGTGTGGGTGGCAGGGCAGGCTAGGGAATGACCTTACGAGTGCCCTCATGCTCCATCCCTAGGGAATGAGTTTGTCCGCCACAACACCTGGCAGCTGACACGCATCTATCCCAGTGGGATGCGGACCGACTCCTCCAACTACAACCCCCAGGAGATGTGGAATGTGGGGTGCCAGATAGGTATGGCTGGGGGGCATCAAGAGATGTGAGCTGGGGAGATGCCGTGGGTCCCATGCAAATGGCACCATCAACACTCATGTCAGTGCCAGCTACAACTCCCCATGGAGCCAGGTCTGGCTTCAGGCTCTTGCGCTGCCCTGGGGAGCCTGAGGGCACATGGACATTGGTTCCTTGTGCCCCTGTGCAGGCCCACGTCTCTCTGGCCATGGGGAGAGCTGGTTCTCAGCTCCAAGCAGAGCATGGCATTTCCAAGCTACCCTGAACGCTTTCCCTGCCACCTTCCCCCAGTGGCCCTGAACTTCCAGACAGCTGGCACGGAGATGGACCTATGTGATGGGCTCTTCAGCCAGAATGGTCGCTGTGGGTACGTGCTCAAACCAGCCTTCATGAGGGACGAGGAGACTCTCTTCAACCCCAATGATCCTGGCAGCTGGGAGAGCCCCGGCCCCACCACCCTGACGATCCAGGTACAGGGCTGAGGAGAGGCCTCAGGGAGCTGTGACAGTGGGGCTCTGTCAGTCCCGGATGGGTTGGGACCTGTTGGGCAGCGTGCTGGAGTCAAGCAGCCTTCTGGCAGATCGGCTCTGCTGCTCCCTGGCTCCTAAGTCCCTGCCTCTTCCTGCAGGTGATCAGCGGGCAGCAGCTGCCCAAAGTGGCCAACAGCAAGGATGGAGCCATCATTGATCCGCTGGTGCGTGTGGAGATCCACGGAGTCCCTGCAGACCAGGCACGCCAGGAGACCAAGTACATCGAGAACAATGGTGAGCCCCACTGTAGTACCGGGGACCCTGCTGCACCCCCCTGCCCTCCCTCACCCTCCTATCTCTCCCTTCCCAGGGTTTAACCCGCGCTGGGACGAGACGCTCCAGTTCCAGCTCCACGTGCCCGAGCTGGCCCTCATCCGCTTCGTGGTGGAGGACTATGACAAGACATCCAGGAACGACTTCGTGGGCCAGTTCACCTTAGCCTTTGCCAACATCAAACCTGGTGAGTGGCTGCTGCTGGGGG